CCTCGCCGCACATGCCTTCGCAATTCCCGAATATGCCCTCCAATGAGCAGATGCAGCAGGTGCAACAGAGCGCGCAGATGCCAATGCAAACGCCTCAGCAACAGCAGCAGCAGCAGCAGCAGCAGCAGCAGCAGCGTTCATCGCAGCTGCCGTCCATTTTGCAGAACGGATCGTTCATGGATATGTACAGCAAATGGTCGTCGAAGAACAGCGTCAAGGTCGATACAACCATGCTGCAGGTTGATGGACGCCAGATTGACCTGCATGCGCTGCATATCACTGTTGCGTACTACGGCGGCTTCCAAAAAGTATGCGTTTGGCCCTTGTCCATGTTCTCTGCGAGCTAACGTCAACACGTGCTGTAGGTGTCGAGGGAAGACCTGTGGCCCGTCGTGGGAGCAAGGCTTGGGTTTGTGCAGTTTCCTGGAAGCGGGAATGAACATGCTAGATCAGGACCGATGGTCGCACAGCGCTTGGAACACGTCTACAGGCAGTATCTGTTCCAGTTCGACTCAGCGTATTACATGTCGATGCAGCAGATGCAACTTCGCAAGCAGGCGGAAAGTCAAAGGATCGGTCAGCAGGCTCAGAACATGGGAATGATGGCGAACGGACCAGGCGGTGCGCAGCAAGGCGGGCCCAGCGCGAACGGGGTACCTCAGCAGCCGGGGCCTGCTCCTCCCGCCAACCTGCAATCTATTATGTCTCGCACGGGGATGGCTGACCCTCAGCAGGTCAATGACCTTGTTCGGTACTCAGCGTTCTCAGTTGCCGACCTCCAGCGTCAAGGCGTTCCGCCGCAGACCATCAGTCTCGTAGAGAGCAATCGCCGACTGCTGCAGATGCACCTGAAGTCTCAGGTTGGTTTTCACGATGGAGTGGCGAAGGTCGTCCAGGGAGGGCCTAACGGCGGAGTGCAAGGCACTAGGCTTACGAGCGCGACGAATCCTGCTCAAATGAATTTATTGCAGAGGCCGCAGCAGCCGACCGGTCTTGTGGGTGACCCGAACGTTTTGCGGACCCCTGACACGCAGCAGTTTCAGGCGAGACAAATGGGACTTCAAAATACCGGAAGAGCACTCTATCCGCAGGCTCAGCCAGGGCGTTTACCTTACCCACCTAAGCCGAAGGTCCCGCCGGAGCTCGACCGACCGCCGACGGAGGCAGAGCTGCAGCAAGGGCAGATGTACATCAGCTTTGTCAAGCGCGATTACGAAATGCGTGAGTGTCTTGCCCGTGCTGGAGACGACTGGGTAGGCTGATAGAACCCCGATGGCCCAGGCGTCATGCAGATGCCACAGGTGGCGGTGCAACCGGAGACCCAAGCAGAGTACCAGCAGTTGTTCGATCAGCTGTGGGCCTACGTGCAGGAGGTGGAGCCGAATATGGCTTTGTACGCGTGCGCGTATGCCGAACATCTGATTCGGCGGATAACCGCGGCGGTATGTCAACATTGCACCTTGTCCCTTGCATGTTAAATGACAGTTGCGTATTAGGTCGTGACGACA